GCCTTGTGAGTAGGGGGGGACGGTGAGAGGGTGAGGTCAAAAGAGGAGAGGAGTGGAAAGAAGGAGGCAGAGAGAAATGAGTCAAATGTAGACGTAGGGAGGTTGAAATCCCCCAAAACTGTGAAGGGTGAGCCATCCTCAGGAAAGGAACTTATCAAGGCGTCAAGCTCATTGATGAACTCTCCAAGGGAACCTGGAGGGCGATAGATGACAAGGATATTAAGCTTAAATGGGCTAGTGACTGTGACAGCGTGGAATTCAAATGAGGAGATAGACAGATGGGTTAGGGGAAAAATTGAGAATGTCCACTTGGGAGAGATGAGGATTCCTGTGCCACCACCCCTCTGACCAGATGCTCTCGGGGTATGCGAGAACACATGGTCAGACGAGGAGAGAGCAGTAGGAGTAGCAGTGTTTTCAGTGGTAATCCATGTTTCTGTCAGCTCCAGGAAGTCGAGGGACTGGAGGGTAGCATAGGCTGGGATGAAGTCAGCCTTGTTGGCAGCAGAACGGCAGTTCCAGAGGCTGCCTGAGACCTGGAACTCCAGGTGTGTGGTGCGTGCAGGGACCACCAGGTTAGAGAGGCAGCAGCCACGCGGTGTGAGGCGTTTGTGTAGCCTGTGCGGAGAGGAGAGAACAGGGATAGGCAGAGGCATAGTTGACAGGCTGTAGCAGATGGCTACAATAATGCAGAGGAGATCGGAATGAAATGAACTAAACATCTGGGAAAGGAGAGAGCAAGGCCTCCCTCACCAAAAAATATAACTCTCCCAACTTCCACCTCAGAAACTATAATTGTTTCACTGAACCACCCGAATAAAACTCTCCCAACTTCCACTTTAGAAATTAGAATTGTTGTAAACTACAGCGGTTCAATGTTTCAAAGACTCAACTTACTTTATTCAGCTAGCTAACTATGACGCCATAGCTAACTAGCATGCTAGCATCCAATAACACACAGTTTAGCACCAATACTTGGTTACAACAAACTACCAATAGTGTGTTAACACACTAAACAGATAATTCGTGTCCGTGTCTAGTTCTTTCATAACGCAGCAATGATTAAACGTTGGCTAGCTAGCACAAAGATATTGTATTTAGCTACTACAGTACAGCTAGCTGGTAGTGTTGGCTAGCTAGCAATGGCTGCTGTGTTGACTTTGTTTGAAAAACGGCGTCGCTGCGAACGAATGTACCTGGCTAAAAGGATATTGTATTTAGTTGCTACCGTTGCTAATAGCTACTAGCCAGCTAGTCCAGGAGGTGAGTTAGCTAGCTAGCTTCGTGCTACACCCGGCACCGCCGAATACAAAAGTAACCTACAATAACTACATACAACAACTACCCACAACAGCCCACGATGCCTACCTATAATACCTAACTACAATCTAAATACATAGTTTAAGCCTTACTCGACAAAGCCCAAGCTATGTATAAAGCCAAACTTACCCAACGCCAGCTATCTGGGTGGCAGACTGCAATCAGTAGCTGTAATTAAGTACAGCAGCTACCAACCACCTAACGTTAATGCCTCAGATAATGAGGTTAGAAAAACAGCTGAATGGTAGGCAGCTAGCTGGCTCAATTACAGGTACTCTTAAGCGTGAGATAACATTGGAAACAACTAACCACAGTTGCTAAAAGTTACCAGTAGCTACCCGCTAGCTAGCTAGCTTTGTTGGTCCAAGTAGTGGGTTAGCTAGCACTCGTGCTTCGCCGGGGTCCGCCGAATACAATACTTACCTACAATAATTACCTACAATAACCTACAATAACCTACAATAACTACCTAAGTAAACTACCTATAATACCTGACTACAATACCTACCTACAATCTAAATACATGGTTTAAGCTTTACTCAACATCATATAAGAAGCCAAGCTTACCTCCTGCTAGAGAAAACACAACCTCTCCCGACCACCGACCACCGACAATGCGGGCATTGCGGGCATTACATCAAAGTTGGATCAGCCTGTAGTGTGGTTTTCCACTTAAATTTTGAGTGTGACTCCAAATCCAGACCTCCATGGGTTGATACATTTGATTTCCATTGATATTTTTTGTGTGATTTTGTTGTCAGCACATTCAACTATGTAAAGAAGTATTTAATAAGATTATTTCATTCATTCAGATCTAGGATGTGTTATTTTAGTGTTCCATTTATTTCTTTGAGCAGTGTATTATCACTTGTGAATGATGCCCAGCTCGTGTGCAGTAAGGCAACAAACACATGCAACTTTTTCAAATCATATAGCCTATAATCAACATTGTAAGCTAAACGTTCTGATCTGTTGTGTCAGCCTCATTGCTTAAAAACGTTTTTTTGATGCTGGTGGTTGTAATTATTTGGGATTCATCCCATCCCACAACTGTCCCAGACTATGTTTGTAATATTTATTTCTCGCACAGAATAGGTCAACCTTTATACTACGGGGTATAGTAGATTGACGTAGGCTAGTGCTTTTGCTGTTCGTTAGGCCTACTCATCTTGGACAGTTCTTCCAATATCTTCAATATGCGCCTCGGAATTGGATAAGGACTCGCAGAGTTTTTGTATTTGTATTTGTATTTATTAGGGATCCCCATTAGCTGCTACCAAGTCAGCAGCTATTCTTCCTGGGGTCCAAACACATTAAGGCACTTACGTTACATATAAAACAAAACATAAAACAATACATCATATAACATTATTACACCACTACATATCTACAATACAAAATGTATAATAGCACCATATAACAACATTACAATGTACGTGTGTAGAGTGTGTGTGCTAGCGCTTGTGTGCGTATGCACGTGTCTGTACCTTTGTGTGTGTGTCTCTTCACAGTCCCTGCTGTTCCACCTTTTTTAAATCTGATTCTACTGCTTTCATCAGTAACCTGATGTGGAATAGAGTTCCATATAGTCATGGCTCTATGTAGTACTGTACGCCTCCCATAGTCTGTTCTGAACTTGGGGATTGTGAAGAGACCTCTGGTGGCATGTCTTGTGGGGTATGCATTGGTGTCCAAGCTGTGTGCTAGTAGTTTAAACAGACAGCTCGGTACATTCAGCTTGTCAAGACTTCTTACAAAAACAAGTAGTGATGAAGTCAATCTCTCTTCCACTTTGAGCCATGAGAGATTTTCATGCATATCATTCATGTTAGCTGCCCGTGTACTTTTAAGGGCCAGCCGTGCTGCCCTGTTCTGAGCCAATTATAATTTCCTTTTGTCCCTCTTTGTGGCACCTGACCACACGACTGAACAGTAGTCCAGGTGCGACAAAACTAGGGCCTGTAGGACCTGCCTTGTTGATAGTGTTGTTAAGAAGGCAAGAGCAGCGCTTTATTATAGACAGACTTCTCCACATCTTAGCTACTGTTGTATCAATATGTTTTGACCATGACAGTTTACAATCCAGGCTTACTCCAAGCAGTTTAGTCTCCTCAACTTGCTCACATTTCCACATTATTCATTACGAGATTTAGTTGAGATTTAGGTTTAGTGAATGATTTGTCCCAAATACAATGCTTTTAGTTTTGGAAATATTTAGGACTAATTTATTCCTTGCCACCCATTCTGAAACTAACTGCAGCTCTTTGTTAAGTGTTGCAGTCATTTCAGTCGCTGTAGTAGCTGACATGTATAGTGTTGAGTCATCTGCATACATAGACACACTGGCTTTACTCAAAACCATTGGCATGTCATTATTAAAGATTGAAAAAAGTAAGGGGCCTAAACAGCTGCCCTGGGGTATTCCTGATTCTACCTGGATTATGTTGGAGAGGTTTCCATTAAAGAACACCCTCTGTGTTCTGTTAGACAAGTAACTCTTTATCCACAATATAGCAGGGGGTGTAAAGCCATAACACATAAATCTTTCCAGCAGCAGACTATGATCGATAATGTCAAAAGCCGCACTGAAGTCTAATAAAACAGCCCCCACAATGTTTTTATCATACATTTCTCTCAGCCAATCATCAGTCATTTGTGTAAGTTCTGTGGTTGTTGAATGTCCTTCCCTATAAGCGTGCTGAAAGTCTGTTGTCAATTTGTTTACTGTAAAATAGCATTGTATCTGATGAAACACCATTTTATCCAGAAGTTTACTAAGGGTTGGTAACAGGCTGATTGGTCGGCTATTTCAGCCATTAAAGGGGGCTTTACTATTTTTGGGTAGCAGAATGACTTTTGCTTCCCTCCAGGCCTGAGGGCCCACACGTTCTAGTAGTCTTAAATTGAAGATATGGCAAATAGGAGTGTCAAAATTGTCCGTTATTATCCTCAGTCATTTTCCATCCAGGTTGTCAGATCCCGGTGGCTTGTCATTGTTGATAGGGGGCACACCACCTCAGTGCTATCAGTGTAACTCTGGTTCATAGGCACATGTTTACTGCATATAAGTTAGGGAGACATAAATTAAGTTGTGTCTGCCAACACCCCTGGGATAATGTACATTTGATGCAGTATTATGACAACTCATTGTCACAATGGTAGGGATTAACTGAGCTGGTCTTGGGTCATTGATAAGTCATTGTCTCAACACAGCCTTGAAATGCGTGGACAGAGTCCAGGAGCCAAGATTATTTGGATGGACTCCGTCATTCCAGAAGGTGTCAAAGTTATCTATAAAAGTGATTCCAACAGAGCTACAGTAATATTTTAGCCAAGTGTGTAATGCCAGTAGCCTGCTGAATTTTTCACACCCGCGACCCAAAGATGGTACCGGACCTGAAATGATTGGCCGCTTTTTGAAATCTTTCATTGCTAGAATCAGTTAATTTAAATCAATTTTCAGAAGTTCCGAGCTAGCCCTCCTGATGTCGCTTGACCCCACATGGACTACGACAGCGTCAGCTCCCAGCATCTGTCGTAGAACGGTTGGAAGCAGCCTTGTAATGTCCTGTACTCGTGAGATTGGGCACTGGCAACCAAGATGTTTCTCACCATAGAGCTGCCGAGAAGGTCCGGCCGTTCTATCACCTTGAGTGGTTTAGAAGACCCCTCGATGACCGAAGGGCGGTGGGGCCCGATGGACCTGAGCCGGCTGTAGTATCCATCGTGGATGATGAATGGGCCGGTCTCTCAGGCAGCCTCACGGTCTGATGAGGGTGGGAGCTCTGAGGATCTGAACCAGAGGTAGAAGCCACCGGATAGGGAGACAGAACAGAGGACGAAGGCTCAGGTACCTCAGGATCAGCTCTCAATTCGGAAGCTTCAAGGAAGAAGGCGCCGGAACCTCTGGATCCAGAGCAGCAAAGCCGTTTCTGGTCTGTGTCTGGTCCGGGCTCAACATCTCCAAGGAGGCCCCCATTGCCAGAGGACGCTTTCTTCCACGGCGAGTGACATATCTCCATGGCTGGTTGGTTGGGTCGAGAACAAGAACATCCCCCAAGTCATCCAGGAGCATCCTACTAGCTCCGTTCTCCAGGGAAGGGGGAGACCCCTTCATGGAGGGATCCCTGCAGAGTACTGGCCAGACGGCTGTGGAGAGCCGACACGGTGGTGACACCTCCACCAGACCAGAGCGGTGTTCGGCTACTGGGGTAGAAGAAAAATTAAAAGTAGGCAGGCATGGATTCCCCAGTAGCTTGTGTAGGTTTGCTACTTGTTTGCTAAGAGTAGCCACTTCGCCCCTGTAGTTCTCTGCAAGCAAACAGTTGCTACATTGAAAGTCTGGGCGGTCCACATTGTCCCGGATTAAAGCAAAGTAAACACAGCTCTCTCTCTTTACATGGAATCTGGTAGGATCCCGGGACAGATAGTGGCGTTCACAGCAACTGAGCCCAAGGGCACAACGGCCACTGGCCACAAAAGGCATGGATTTTTTTAGGGGGCATTTCGGCCACACAAAGGAGATGCTGCTGGGAAATGTGCAGCTTTATCAAGTGCCAACGTTTGTATCACAACTAAAGTTACATAAATTACTATAATTTAAGCATATAAGAGTACCTGTTTCTTTGTTAACCGCTCAACACAGAATAGATGCATGTGCGCAATCACTCAAATCGTTTGGAGAAATTTTCCTTTCTATTTTATTCAGCTATTTTCAATTGTATTCTTCATACTATAAAATAATGCCACTGAATTCTAATCAAATCTTGACTGCTAAATGACCTAGTGTAGCCCACCACCATATGGCATTGCCAGATCAGGGCCTAACATAAGGACAACTCAGAGAATGCTATTCTGTTCTTCTGAAATAGACTACATTTTCTTCATATCATGTTTCTTTAGACCTGTCTAAAATAAATAATGGAGTTATTGTCATGGTGTAGGCTATTTTACATGGATTTATTAGAGGTTCCAAAGGTCTGCATCAGTGGCTTGTAGGCTATGCGTGGAAGCCAGGAGATGCTAAATGTGTTTATGTTAATTAACGGTCAATTACCGTGAGACCGGCAGTTATTTGCTTGACAATCACCGGCTGACGAAATATAATGACTGCCACAGCCCTAGTTCCAAGCCACATGAAATGCATACTGTATCCCAAATTTTACATTTTACAGCCCCACTCTGTTCTTCCCCCCTCACATGGAAGCTCTGCAATTAGGGAATTTTGGAAGGAAGGCTACAAGAATAAAACACTCCTCATCTCTTTTGGAACTAGGACAGCTATTTTGCATTCCATACCCCTGCGTCAGATCTGGTTGACCTCACACTAAAGCCCATACTCATTCCCTACAGAGAGGAATAATCCAATAGGGTGTCATCATCCCACTGTGCTCTCGCTGTAGGTGCTGGCTCTGGCCCCTTCTCTGTTCTTCTTGACCTAGAGAACCTCAGACATGAAAGTGCCACATGTGGGACTTCTGAGCTTGTGATAATTGTGTGGGTGTGTATGTATACGTGCGTGTGTATGTGTGTGTATGAGTGAGTGTGTGTGTGTGTGTGTGTGTGTGTTCGTGCGCATGCATGCATGTGTGTGTGCGTGCATGTGTGAGCAACTGGAGAAGCTGGAGAAGGCTTTTGAGAGGACACACTACCCAGACGTGTTTGTGTGCGTGCTTGTGTCTACAGCATGTCCTACCTGTACACGGGCCTCTGTGAGCTTGGTCCTCTGGGCAAGCTCTTCTCTGGTGTAGATGTCAGGGTAGTGTGTCCTATCAAAGGCCTTCTCCAGCTCCTCTAGCTGTTCGGCCGTGAAGGTGATGCGACTGCGCCTCTGTTTCCTCTTCAGGGGCAGGTCCGGCTCAGACTCCACATCCGAGGCGTCGTCCATCCGGCTACCTGCATCGGGAATAGAGACAGAGAGTTGGTCTTAATGTAATTCAGTTGACGGGCTAAGTGACCATTGGTTTTAAGTCCTCAGGCTGTTCTTATATGGACACCATACTGTTGAAGTGAAGTGCAGTTCACCAGTCTCAATTCACATATTTTTTTACGTAGTTTATAAGACATTTATGGCATGTACAAGTATGTAAAACAACCACATATCACAATTAGGTAAAACCTTCCATAGTAGCCGTTTCTACATTCCTACACTTACATTTCAGTCATTTAACAGACACACTTGTTCAGAGCAATGTCAGTGCATTCAACTTAGGTAGGCAAAACAACCACATATCACAGTCATTGCAAGTAAAACTTTCTTTAAACTAGCCAATATCTGACAAGTGCGGGTTTCAGTGCAAGAAAGATATTTAGGAAGAACCACGGAGAGATGTTGTTCACAGGGGGAGGCAGTGGAAGATAGATGGGAACGATGGCTCCTATGGCTCCTCTAACGGGAATACGACTGTATTTACTTCACTGTCTGGTTATTTATGAGGGAGCCTTTTCTGTCAACACAATCCTGTATCAGTACACATCCCCCAGAATGCCCTGAGACGGGTAGCTCAGATTGGAGGCAGGTGCTAATCTCTCCAGACCACCTTGCGCCCGTGGCGAAATGTGACAGCAAACTGGCAGCATGTAAATATTGCCAATATATTAGTGTGTGGCGGTGAATAAATGAAATCAGCGCTACACAATATACTATACAGTGAGGGAAAAAAGTATTTGATCCCCTGCTGATTTTGTACGTTTGCCCACTGACAAAGACATGATTAGACTCTAATTTTAATGGTAGGTTTATTTTAACAGTAAGAGACAGAATAACAACAAAAAAATCCAGAAAAACGCATGTCAAAAATGTTATAAATTGCATTTTAATGAGGGAAATAAGTATTTGACCCCTCTGCAAAACATAACTTAGTACTTGGTGGCAAAACCCTTGTTGGCAATCACAGAGGTCAGACGTTTCTTGTAGTTGGCCACCAGGTTTGCACACATCTCAGGAGGGATTTTGTCCCACTCCTCTTTGCAGATCTTCTCCAAGTCATTAAGGTTTCGAGCCTGACGTTTGGCAACTCGAACCTTCAGCTCCCTCCACAGATTTTCTATGGGAAAAAGGTCTGGAGACTGGCTAGGCCACTCCAGGACCTTAATGTGCTTCTTCTTGAGCCACTCCTTTGTTGCCTTGGCCGTGTGCTTTGGGTCATTGTCATGCTGAAATACCCATCCACGACCCATTTTCAATGCCCTGGCTGAGGGAAGGAGGTTCTCACCCAAGATTTGGCGGTACATGGCCCCGTCCATCGTCCCTTTGATGCGGTGAAGTTGTCCTGTGTCCACCTCCATGTTTGATGGTGGGGATGGTGTTCTTGGGGTCATAGGCAGCATTCCTCCTCCTCCAAACACGGCGAGTTGAGTTGATGCCAAAGAGCTCCATTCTGGTCTCATCTGACCACAACACTTTCACCCAGTTCTCCTCTGAATCATTCAGATGTTCATTGGCAAACGTCAGACGGGCATGTATATGTGCTTTCTTGAGCAGGGGGACCTTGCGGGCGCTGCAGGATTTCAGTCCTTCACGGCGTAGTGTGTTACCAATTGTTTTCTTGGTGACTATGGTCCCAGCTGCCTTGAGATCATTGACAAGATCCTCCCGTGTAGTTCTGGGCTGATTCCTCACCGTTCTCATGATCATTGCAACTCCACGAAGTGAGATCTTGCATGGAGCCCCAGGCCGAGGGAGATTGACAGGTCTTTTGTGTTTCTTCCATTTGTGAATAATCGCACCAACTGTTGTCACCTTCTCACCAAGCTGCTTGGCGATGGTCTTGTAGCCCATTCCAGCCTTGTGTAGGTCTACATTCTTGTCTCTGACATCCTTGGAGAGCTCTTTGGTCTTGGCCATGGTGGAGAGTTTGGAATCTGATTGATCGATTGCTTCTGTGGACAGGTGTCTTTTATACAGGTAACAAGCTGAGATTAGGAGCACTCCCTTTAAGAGTGTGCTCCTAATCTCAGCTCGTTACCTGTATAAAAGACACCTGAGAGCCAGAAATCTTTCTGATTGAGAGGGGGTCAAATACTTATTTCCCTCATTAAAATGCAAATCAATTTATAACATTTTTGACATGCGTTGTTCTGTATTTTTTTGTTGTTATTCTGTCTCTCACTGTTCAAATAAACCATTACAATTATAGACTGATCATTTCTTTGTCAGTGGGCAAATGTACAAAATCAGCAGGGGATCAAATACTTTTTTCCCTCACTGTATATCCATGCTGGTGTTTTAAAATAACCATGGTGGCAGGTTATTGGTATGTATAGCCATCAGTTTTAATTACGGTTGAGCATTGGAGTTGTGTTGGAGGAGCGCATGCAAAGGATAAGGTGTGAAGTTGAGACTCCATTGTCTCTAACTAAATGTGTAAATTGGGATGTAAATAGAACGAGTGGTAACTGGTAATGTGATGCCATACGCACAGAATTAGCTACATACTGTCTATAATTTAATAGCATCTCTGTGGACGTATGTACACCAGTGAAAACTGTGAGTGACTTCACAGTGGTGAGATTCCATAAAGTCCCTTGTTAGTGACATGTTATTCGAACATGCTGTTCCAAATGAAATTTAGGCTATTTCACCAAACACATTCATTCAGGTTGGCCAGTTGGACATGACTGAATGTTGACCCATTACTCGACACACTATACCACTATCAAACCATAATAATAATGCATTCTTGCACTGTATCAAAAACACTCTTGTTCGCCTCCCGAGTGGCGCACCGGTCTAAGGCACTGCATCGCAGTGCCTGAGGCATCACTACAGACGGCCGTGACCGGAAGTTCCATGAGGCGGTGCACAATTGGCCCAGCATCATCCGGGTTAGGGGAGGGTTTGGCCCGCCAGCATGTCCTTGTCCCATCACGCTCTAGCGACTCCTTGTGGCAGGCAGGGTGCCTGCAAGCTGACCTCGACTGTAACTACCAATTAGATATCACGAAATTGGGGAGAAAAAGGGGTAAAAATATTCAAATTTAAAACACTCTTGTTTGCAGTGGACATCGTGTACACCTGAGTAAAGTGGTATCATTGACAGTCAGGTCTGTTCTTCTGTCCCCCCACCCTTGCGGACTGCAGAGAGGATCAGTGAGTGTGCATGGGGGCTGATCCTTCTCCAAATGTCCCTCCACACCCACGGCAGCCTGAAGAGGCTCAGCTCTCCAGACACAGGGCCCTAATCCTGTCTATTGCTTCTCCCTGCGTTTAAGCCATTCCACATTAGGGATGGCTGCACTGCCTCCTCTCGCTGCACTCATTAGATAGAGTGCCTTCAGAAAGTATTCACACCACTTTACTTACACCAT